AACAAAGCCGTAATCTAACAATTGTGCGGCTGTTAGATGACGCATTTTGCCTCTAATCTCTATCTCTAATGGCTCAAAAGTTGTTAGATTTATCTGGCAAAGGCAGATACTGAAATCTAGATTACACTGACATCTTCCAAAATATTCTGGCCTAGCTATACATTTTTCTTCTTGTAAATAGGGTTGTTCTTCATCCTCGTAGAGATAAGTCCATTGATATGCCATACTAGGGCACTCAACTCCTGTTATGGAGAGGTCTTAAAGAAACTGCTATATAGTGACTAATTCACTATTTCTGCTATCTTCGGCTAGGGAGGGTGTATATATAGGGTTTACGGTCTTCTATTTCTCGGCTTTTCTCACAAAAAGATTGAATGATAGAATGCCTGAAGAAATACATTCTAGCACTCAATTGTTCGAATTCCACACTGGTGAGTTGTCTGATTTCTACGTTTAGAACGGGAGTGAGTGCTTTATCTGGAGTTAGCTTTTTAAGTTGGCTGATTAGGGTTCGAATGGTTGCTCTCAATTGTTTTTCTTCGCCTCAGAGCTAGTCTAGCTCTTCACTGACCTTTTTGCCTTCATCCATAATTTTCTTGAAATTTCTGATAAGGCCTTTACAATGTCTGCACATTTGAAGAGGATTTTGAAAATCTAGCTGAGGGTTAGTACTACTGCTTCCTATTATCTGGCTAACTGGAATTCCACTAGTAGCAAGAATAGTTGACTGCATCTTGCTCAATGTGTCCAGATAATCTTTAGCTATTTGGCTAATAAAGTAACTGGTTCTTATTTGTCTACAAGCATATGTAATCATAAAATTCTTTAAACTTGAGGTACAGGAAATTTTTTAACTAGAGGTTAAACTTCTATACAATCATGGTAAATACCAAGCTTGGTTCCTTTAGCTACTAAATAGAAAAAAAAAAACTTTTAGAAAAAGGTTTGTTCTGGATTTTTGAAAAATATATACTAAGACAGTTAAGGCTGACAAAAATATGGGAGGATTGAATGACATGCGATGGGGCCCAAAGCAGTACCCGACATCATTATCTTAGCCCTTTATTGATATAATTGTGTCTAGAGTAATAGGAAGTTGGTCATAAAATGTGTCAAAGTCCTTATATTTATTATATAGAAATTTTGTAAAGCCTATAACTAGGCTTGACGAGGCTTTTGGATTTTTTGTTCAAAATTAGACGTAGTAAGTCTTTAGTTTTTGTTTGTATCTATCAAATGTCTAGGAAGCACGGATACAGATATGGGATACGATATGATACGGATACGGCAATATGGAAAAATTTGAAAAACTAGGATACGGGTACAACGGAGATACGTTTGTAAAAAATATTATTTTTATAATTTTTAGTAATGCAGTATGCATAAAAATAAAACCTAAAGCAAAGCACAACTTGATAAAGAAGAAAGATTCCTATAAAATTGAGAGTCTTCAAGATCAATAGCTTCAACTTATTCCCCTTCATCAGTGAATATCATAGGACTCTTAGCTAAAGCTAAAAAATCATTCTTAAATAAAAATTTCAGCAAATATACTTTTTTAAGTCATCAATGATAACCTAGGAAGCGCGGATACAGATACGGATATGGCGATATGGAGATGGCGATATGTCAAAATTTGAAAAAGTATGATACGGGTACGGTAGGGATACGTTCGTAAAAAAAAAATATTTCTATATTTTCAATAATGTAATATGATTGAAAATAAAACTTAAAGTAAATTAATAAATAAAGAGAGGGATTCCTATTAACCTAAAAGTCTTCAAACGTTCGTAAAACATCCAAAACTAAAAGCAAAAGCAAAAGCAAAAGCAAAAGCAAAAGCAAAAGCAAATGCAAATTAAACATCATCCTTACATACCAACACCAAAAAAAGAAAGAGTAGAGAGAAGAAATGTGAGAATGAGAAAGCGAGAGAGAAGTGAGAGAGACAATAAGGATACATCAATTTGACAAATTCTATTATTTTAACTCTCACTATATTTCTCTTGTCAAAGAACTAAACAAAATATTATAAATAATATGTAACTTCGAGTATTCGATACGTCAAAATAAGTATCCGATACTTCAAAATTAATAAAAAATTAATAAAGAAGTATTCGATACATTTAAGAAGTATCCGATACGTATCCGCGAGTATCCAAGGAGTATCGGTATCCGTATCCGATACGGATACGTCTCCCTTTTTGAAATATCCGTGCTTCATAGTCAAATGTATTGTATAAATTGGCATTCATGCCAACGGATGAAACAATGAAAAAATTCTCCACGCTCTTCGTTGCAAAATTTTTCTCCCAACTCCCCTACTCTAGTTTGTCTAAAAAATTCTAAGTGTTCAAATCTTTCAAAGTTTTTCAGAATCTCAAAGTCTGTAACATAATCTTTGTAAGTATACTACATATTAATATGAAGTGTGAGTAGTCTCTCATTTTCCTTAGATATTTCAAAAGGGTAACTCTTCTGTTCTAAAATTTATTTTCTTTTTGGAAAAACTAAGTTTATGAAATGCTTGTTTGCTCATTAATATTACATACTTTGCACTTTCATAGTATCTATTGTTTTCTATTTCATTATTGAGTGACCTTAGCTGAAGAGCCCGTGTAAGTCGTGGTTAGGCATTGAGGGTAAATTGTAGGCAGAAAGGGAAAGGTAAGAAATAGAAAATAAAAATATACTATGTTAAACGAGACTTAGCTTCAAGATGAGAGTACATGTAATGAAAGCAAACATTGCTTAAAAATAATTTTTCCAAATAAGGAAAAGAATTTTAGAATATAAGGAGAGCAACCTAAGTAGAAATATGAAGGAAATATTTTTCATATAATAATTTTAAAATCAAAATTTTATGCTTTTAGAAGAAGAACTTAGAATTAAAATCAAATCTAGTACTGAGCTTATATAAGAATTAGAAGATCAAAAACTAAGATATCAATTTCTGTTATCATTAGCCTCCGGTAGATCTCTAGTACATTATAGTTTGAAAATCACACAAATAAATAGACAGATAATTATAAAACAAGAAGCCTTATAGCTAGCCATACAACAGCTTGAGGATTTATTAGCATAACTGTAGAATTAATTAGATAATTCTCAGCCCAACTTCAAAATAGTGGTAAACCACTAACTCATTCCAAAAATTGGTATCAGGGCAGTGTTCGATTTTAGGACAGTTTATGCAGTTTGCTTACGGAAATAGAGTAGTTTTTATTATTGGATAATTTAGTTATAAATTTCATATTATAATAGCTTTTAATAATTTTAAAGTAGGATTTAATTTTGTGTATGAAAAGAATAGAATACTTAGATTTAGAACTCAGTAATTATAACCATCGCCTTAATATATAGATAAAAATAAATTTCGTTGTAATTTTGAAGAAACTTTTACACATCAGCTCTATAGCGAACATAATTCTCAGCTAAATAGTATTATAGATCATCAGATTAATTTTACAGAAAATATTAAAAAGGACGTAGAAAAAATCAGTAATCTTTTTACTTCATCTATAGACCATCTTCGTAATATTCGCAGTATAATTAAATATCAAGATAAAAAATTAGATTATATCCAAGATCAGTGTAGTTCAATCCTACAAAAACGAATAGATTTAAATTTAGAAAAATTCCCCAGCAAGCTATAAATAGAAACTCTAATTTCAACCATAAATATTAGTAGCTCGAAGCAAATAGAGTTAGAATTTAAGCAACTAATTGAAGAAATTCATAATCAGATAAATCAAATAGCTAGACAAATAGAATAGATCAATCAAATTCAAGATAATTTAAAACAAAAATAGAAATTTTAGAACAATTAATAAGATCTTAATTTATGAGTAGTGATAAAAAAGCTAATAGAGATTATCAAATTGTTTTAAAACAAGCAGAAGACTTTCATAATAACCCAGAAGGAACTAGTAGCTATCAAGGAATAAATCAGTCAGATAAAATGTTTGTAAGACAATAATATAGAAATTTTATTTCTCATCCGGTTGTGTGAAAATTTTGAAGAATTATCAGAACAATTACATAGTTTAGAAAATCGTTTAGCTTCGTTGGAAAAATTAATACTTCAAAAAGGAAAAGGAGTAGAAGGACAAGCAAGGAAAGTCCAATCTCAAATAAATAAAGAAGATATAGCTAAATATTTTGAAAAGCTTAAATTGCAAAAGAAACCTATTTGTAGAACTTATAGAAAATAAAAATGTTTAAACAGTTAGTAAAAGGAAGTAGCAGTAAAAAGCGTAATGAGGATGAAGATGTTAAAGTAGGAGAATTTATAGATGTAAAACAACAAATAGAAAGTTTTAAAAAGGAAAAACTAGAGTTAATTCTAGCTAAATATGTATATAAGTTAGGAAAAATTCATAAAAAAACAATATTTATTTAAACACTATGGTGAACAAATGATTAGTGTAACTCAAGAAGATGAAAAAATAGAGCTAAATTTAATAAATAGAGAAAGTCATAAATATGTTGTAAATGAACACCTCAAAATGATTCACTTAGGATTAGTTGTGATAGGAGTTGAGGGTTTAACTAGAGAAAATTTAGGAGCTAAAATTGTTGTATGTCTTTAGGATGATAGGTTCAATGATGTAGGACAAAGTATTTTAGGTAGCTATGAATTAGATATGAATTCTAAAGGAGGAATAATTTATTTTACACCAGATTTCCTTTTACCAACATTGACTTTTCATAAAAAGATAAAAATAGGAATAAAAGGAAGAGGATATAAAATGAAAAAAGGGGAAAATAATTTATTAATTTTCATAGGATTTTTAGGCTTAGCAGATTCAGAAAGCAATACCCATTATAGACTTACAAATGATCAAACAGTTAAAATATTAGGCGCAAAAGGAATGAAGGCACTACCAGCTAAAAAAATATAATTATGAAGATAATGCAGCACTAGATTGGAATTTAGGAGATTTCCTAGGACAAAAGAGGTTAGCCCCTCAAGATAATTTATTATATCAAAAAGCAGATGGAAGCTATGCAATAAGATTTACTCAATATACATATGTAGCACCAGAAAAATCCGAAGATGATGAATTTAGTAGTGTAGATAGGAAAGAAAATCAAGATAATCATAGTGATATAAATCAGCTTTATGTAATAACAGAAGAAAAATCAATATCACAAAATAAGATATATAATATTGACAAGATAGATTTGAAAAATTTCACCCTAATCGATATGAACAAAATACTAGACACCAGATATTATGAATATTTAGCTAGATGAGATACCCATGATGAAGCAGTGTCATTCTTAGATCAAGAATTTCATATAGAATATGTAGACGACATCATAGAAGATAAAATACATCCTAGCAAGATATTTAGAATACCAAAACAATCTAATTTAGAAGATACTTTTTATATGAATACAGAAAGCACAGGAACTAGTAACCCACAACCTACGGTAGAAGATCTAGTAGAACCAATGCATTATGCAGTAGGAGGAAGGAGACCAATAGCTAGTTCAGGGCATAGCAAGGCAGACCCAAATAAAAGTTATAGATTTCATGGAAAGCATAGACAACCAGATATGAGTATACAATTACAGCCAGTCAATAACCAGGGAACCCTTTTAGATTTAGCCAGATTCGACCCTCAGATACGGCAAGAAGTGATAGAAAAATGGGAAAAAGATGCGGTAATAGCATGGATGAGTAATCCCTTTGAATAAACTGATATGTGGAAATATATGGAAACACTTTTAGGAGATTCAACTTTTAATATATATTTAACATGTAGTTATTGTAATTGGTTTCCCGCTAAGAGTAAGAGAGCTCAATGTTTATTATGCAGTATAACCTATTGTATAGTTTGTCTAGAAAAATTAAATATTACACACAAGATAATGATAGAAAATGACGAAGAGATGCTAGAAGATTATAGTCTAGAAAATAAAGAATTACACCTAACAATTAGAGAATTAGTGATACAAGCAAGAGACTTAGACTACAAATATGAGAGACAGAAACTAAGGCTAGTCTTGACATAGAATGTTTAGAATTAGAAAATAAACAGCTTAAACAGCAGTTAGAACAATTTCATACTAAATACCCATTAAAAAATAAACTTATTGAAGAACATATGTACTCATTAGAATTAGTCAACCTAGTTGATTCTCAACCCTTTAGTCAATAGTCCCAAACACAGTCTGACAATGCACAAATAGATCATACGCCAGCAGATATAGAAGAATTTAGAATACTGATTAAGGAGTTACCATTTTACTTCATCGTAACTAAGATATATTGTAATAAATAAATTAATGCTAGAGACTCTAAAATATAACCCCTAAATTTATTAACATTGACGTGAAATAGGGTTGAGTCCAGTGTTTTTAAAGACCCAGGGCGCACTAAGGCGCTGAAGGTCTCTCGGGGCCTAGGCGCAAGGCGCAAGGCACAAGGCGAGGTGCGGGTTTTATTGAAATAAGGCGCACAATCTTAGTAAAAAATAGAAAAATTAACATAGACTAATCATTCATAGTACTATGACAATTTTTTTAAAAATAAAAAGTGATCAAGATTCAAGACAAAATAGAGAATAATTCTCAAAGCCATGAAAGTGCATATTACATAACATTTCAATTTTCAAAGATAAAATAATCCACGTTCAATAAAATAAAACTAAAAATAAAAACATAAATACTAAACATTCAAAACATAAATATCCAACAAATACTAATATATGTCTTAACACTTAAAAACATCAAATATCAAAAGAAAGGGTAGGTTAGGTCGGTCAGTCAATCATCATCCTCAACATCAATGGCAAGCAAACTATTATCTTCTTCTCCATCAGTTGATTTGTATCCCTCAACATCTTCCTCCTCTATGTCATTTGAGCCCACTTCCTCTTCATCTATTAATTGAAGTGGAGTTAATCTTGATGATTTAGATACCCTCAGTTGTGCCTTTGAGCGTGAACTTGTTGCTCTACTTGCATGGCTACTTTCTTCTACTCCAGAAGCTCTAGCAACAGTGGCCCACGTCAAGCCATCATCAAGCAACCACTCATTGCTTTCATCAATATTTTGCAAAGATATGGGATTAAGAGTGTTGTGTATGTCATACCTAAATCTCAAATGTTCTATTATATTTGACAAAACATTAAATCATTGAGACGTTCCAATCTATTTCTTTTCTTGCTATGAAGTTGCAAGTATTAAAAAGATATTAAATTCTATATAATGAGAATAAAAAATATTTGAATTGAACAAAAAATTAGTTAGAATGTTAAATACTCACATGTTCAAATACACTCCAATTTCGTTCACAACCCGATGAACTACATGTGAGGCTAAGAAGTTTTATGGCAAAAGTTTACAAGTTTGGAGTTTTAGAACCATGTGATGCCCCACCAATCAGCTGCGATAATCCACTAGTTAGAAATAATTGTTACCAAGTATTGAATTTTATTAAAAGTATTACTAAAAATAAACTCTATTAGTCTATAATATATTATCTGGTACTCTTGTATTTCTTTGCCTAATCGCAACAGACTTGCCAAAAAGACTCTTAGCCTTCATATAAATACTCATCTCACTAGTGATCAAATCTTGAACAGTGACATCCGGGACCAACCTTTGCATGCATTCATAAAACCCATTCATCACTTCATGATCTTTTTGCACCTCTAACGCTTTTGGGTAAAAGAATTCTAGGTTAAGAAAATGCGCAGCTACGTGTAAAGGCTGATGCAATTGGACATCCCATCTTTTGTCGATGATTTCGAAGATTTCATTATACTTATCTTCTTTATGATCAAATGAACTTGCAATGCATTCTTTTGCCCTATCCATTGCCTGATAAATGTATCCCATGGGAGGTTTCTTCTCGGTATCAACCAATCTAAGCTCTTTGACGAGAGGACCCGAGACCTTAAGGGCAAACACAACAGTATTCCAAAATGAAGGCATCAACAAAGTTTGTGCCATTCTTTTACCTTGTGGCTGCTTTGCCCATTTGCTTGAGGTCCAGTCTTCGAAGGTGACCATCTTTCTCAAATTGTTTTTTGTTGATGCATCTTAGACAAAGTCAGAAAGGCGCTTGCAAATCTAGTTTTTGCAGGCTTGATCAAATTCTTCAGATTTGTATAGCGCCTCATTATGTTTACCAACGTAGGCCGGTTGTAAATGTAGCCATGTACTGCAATACCCCTTTCAAATGTCTTTTTTAGTCTAGGTATCTTGAAAATGTCTTCTAACATCAAGTCCAAGCAATGAGCAGCACATGGTGTCCAAGACAAGTGTTCATACTTGGCTTCCAAAAACCTCCCTATAATGTAACAATTACAAAAAATTATTATTTTCAAGTTTTTAAATTTTAAATACAAAACAAACTACGAGTAAATAATTTTTACATAAGGAAGGAGGAAATATTCTTACCCGCCAACACATTAACTGCAGCACTATCAGTGATAACTTGCACCACATTCTCTTTTCCAACTTTCTCCACAAACTTGTCTAGTAATTCAAATAGCTTCTGCCCATCCTTTGAATAGCTAGAAGCATCAACTGACTCAACAAACATGGTTCCTCTTGGACAATTAACTAAAAAGTTAATCAATGTCCTTCCTCTCTTATCAGTCCAGCCATCAGCCATTATGGAACACCCGTATTTTGCACATTCTTCTTTATGATTCTTCATCAAATCTTCAGTATGTTTCTCCTCTTTTTTGAGTTGGGTAACCCGCACTTCATGGTAAGTTGGTGGCTTCATACGGGGACCATATTGCCCAATGGCTTCAATCATTTGTCCAAAACTCTCATAATTTATTGCATTAAAAGGGATACCAGCATCATACATCCACCTTGCAAATCTTTGCACTGCCCGAGCTCTCATTTCTTTTTTGTATGGGTCATTCGCATCAATTTTGGTTTGCTTCCCTTTTGCTTGGTCTCTTCAATTTTTCACCACTGATTCAGGATTGGGTGTGAAGTAAACATCCATAGGCTCTTTTCTCTTTGGCATAGGCTCTTTTCTCTTTGGCATTTTTAAATTGGTTTTGGATTTGGATGAACCTTGGCTGCTACTTGTCAACTTACGACGTTGATTGACATTGATCTCAACATCTTCATCTTCATTTTCATCTTCCATGTCCATGGCATCAAAATCAGGCAACATGTTCATTTTTTCTTTTTGTGTCTTCTTTTTTGACATGAACTCTCTAATCTCTTCTCTTACATGGGCTGGACACTTCAGGCAATCAGTGACATTCCTATAACCTCCCGCGAGGTGTTGTTTCACCCGATAAATACCTCCTTTTGATACTTTACCACAAAAATTACACTCAAACTTGTTTAAATTATTCCCCTCTACCAAATGGGCATGTTGCCATGCCGGATCTTTTCTATTACTTTCCGATGTCATTTTCTACACAACAAATTTAATAAATGGAATATAATTTCAGTGTAATGTAATGGAAAATAATGTGTAATGGAAAATTACACATTAGGACAGTGTATTAATTAATGGAAAATTAATTAATATAATGTAATGGAAAGTAATGTAATGGAAAATTACACTCAATGTAATGTAATGTAATGGAAAATAATGTAATGTAATGTGTCAATTTAGAAAATAATGTAATGTAAAAAAAACAGAGACCAATAGCAGTGTATTAATTAATTATTTGTAAAAAAAAAATTTAGTGTATTTTTTTAGTTAATCAATCAATAAGTCTTATTTTGTATTTCTATTTATTTATTTATTTATTTTTAACAGACTCAAAGGAATAATTGAAAAAGAAAAAAGAAAAAAATACAACACAGCAGAGCAGAAGAGACTGAATCAGCGAAGAAGAGAGGAGAGGAAAAAAAAAAGAACTGAAATGTCGAAGAAGTAGAAGAGGAGAGAGAGAGAGAGAGAGAGGGTGAGACGATCAAAGTCGAAGAAGCCAGAAAAAAAAAAACAAAACAATCAAACCAAACAGA